TGCTTATCTCCACGTTTTTCCTTTGCTTCATTTCCCAATTTTTGCCTATGGTAGTACAGAAAACATTATCCACTTCCCACAAATGATGGTGCCATTAAATCATATTCTGACTTACAGTATCAGTTCAATTCTATTTTGATAGCCTGCTTCTTATAAGAGTAGAAGGGGGACATCATATTATCTATCATTTAAGTTAAGGCATCACACAATTATCACTTTGCATATATTATCCTTGAATTAATACAGTTAAAAGATATGTAATTCTTATTTCAATTTGACTACACCCATCATGACAGCTAATCCAAAGACAAAAGTTAAATAGTTTGTTAGTATACGTGAGGATAAAACCATGGCAATATGACAGGGTGTGGCTCTGTCTAACAAGTACTTCTTGTACATAAAATAAAGACCAGTTCTATTTCTGGTCTTTAATCCAGGTCTAACTTTTCCATAGTTTATTTTTGCAGTCTTTTAACTGTTAAGTGTTATGAATTCTTTTGCCTTATGCACTACATAAGCACCATTCAAAACACTTGTTCTGGTATGTATCAAGGACCATAAAAATAATCACTGTTGGATCTAGAAATTCCATCCCTAAAAATATATCTTAAGGAAGTAATTCCAAATGTAGGGAACGCTATATTCAAAATCTTTTCATTGCATTACTTAAAATAGTAAAAAATGGAAACAAGTTAAATACTAAGAGTAATTAAGTAAATTATAGTAAACTAGCTGATAGAACTTTTTATAGCAATTGAAAATGATGAAAGATTGTATATAAAAAACAAGAAAGATGATTGTCATGATTTTTATTTAAATAATATTTACTATAAAGTTTAAGTTCTGCTAAGAAAATATGGAAAATAAGGACAATAGGAAAAAGAAAAAAATAGTATTTGGGGAGAAAAGCAGACTACTCAATTGTAACTGAAATTTGACTATAATTTTTGTTAAAGAATAGAGCAAGAAAACTTGAAAGTTGTTTTACTGGGTTTTATTCTTTTCTTTATCAAATTATATGTAGCATAATTTGTAATATATTATTATTTATAATTTACAAATAATATAGCATAATTTGTTATAGGTTGACATTTAAAACTCAGAAACCTTAATTTGGAGCAGTCTTCCATTCTTGCTGCCCAGATGAACAGGTAAAGAGTGCAAAGACTCTTTACCTGTTAAAAGACTGTTTTGGCTGGGCATGGTGGCTCACACCTGTAATCCCAGCACTTTGGGAGGCCGAGGCAGGGGATCACGAGGTCAGGAGTTCGAGACCAGCTTGGCCAACATGGTGAAATCCCATCTCTACTAAAAGTACAAAAATTATCTGGTACTGTATTCCCAGCTACTCAGGAGGCTGAGGCAGGAGAATCACTTGAACCTGTAGGCGGAGGTTGCAGTGAGCAAAGATCACGTTACTGCACTCCAGTCTGAGCAACAGAGACAAAGCTGGTACTAGCAGAACAAAGATTGACAGTCACATCTGACTAGCATTTAAAATGCCTGAACTCTTTTTTCCCTTCCTGGTGACATCACGGTAAGAATCAAATGAGGCAAACATAGAAATGCATGCTGGAAATGGGGGTATTGCCCCTTCCAGGGGTTTCAGAATCGCCCACTTTTCCCATGCCCTCCCTCAATAGGACAGAGATCATATTGTAAAACTTGGTGAAAAAATGAGAGATTGGTAAAATATCCTGTTACAATTTTCTTTTTGAAAATGTCTCAGACAGGCACAGTGGTTCACACCTGTAATCCCAGCATTTTGGGAGGCTGAGGCAGGAGGATCATTTGAGGCCAGGAGTTTGAGACCAGGCTGGGCAACTTAACAAGACTCCATCTCCACTTCTTTTGTTTGTTTGTTTCCAAACTTCTGTTGTAGGGAAATTCTGATCTATGCGAGGCTGCTTGAAATAAATGGGCTACTGGCCAGGGCTTGGAAATATTTGTGGTATGAGAAGGTCAGTTGTTTTTTGGCATCTTCAAATACATTATTATTGCTATTTACAAACAATTAGCAAATTACTGAAAAATCTGTAAATTTAAAATTATTTATTTGGGAAGACTCTATTTATAAAAAATGGTGCCTTAATTATACATTTTGCTTACCATTAGATCTATTTCAGTTCTAAAGGAATACACGGAGGGAGAGGGAGTCTTTTCAAAATGTTTGTGGAGGGGTGGCTTATTCTTTTTGCCCTCAGTTTAATAGAAGCAAGAGGTAGTTTGTAGTAGTGGGCAGTCAAAGGTGGGTTCATTGTATCGTTACTTCTAGTCCTAGCTTTTCACTATTCCTTGGCAAGGTTCTTAACCTTTCTGGGTTCCCTCTTCTTATCTTTCTCTTATTCTCCCCCAAGTGTGGGAGTCACACTTCAACACTATACACTTGGGAGTGTTGTGTTGTTAAAAAATATTGTTAAATACTTTTTAAACATGTTAAATTCTTGTTAAATACTTTAAGACGTGTATTTATTTATTTGAATTAGTAATACATACACATGGTTCAATATGTAATAGATATAAAGGGAGATTTGGTGCCTTCTCCCTCCTACCTGCTTCTCTCTGGGTGTCCCTGTTCCAGTTCTCAGTTTTCTTTTGCAAACTTAGAAATCTCAAGAGTCTGTGAAGGGCAAATGAAAAGCAAGATGACTAGACTAAATCTGAATGAAATGAAAGGGATTTATTCTAAGGTGATACTGCTCACTGCTTAGATAAGCACCTTGAGCAGGGAGCAGTATCACCTTAGAATAAATCCCTTTCATTTAGATTTAGTCTAGTCATGCCCTCTTCATGGGATCCCTCAAGTTTGAGACTTCAAACATCAACACTCAGCTAAACTATGAAATAGTCACAGCACCTTTCCAAGAAATCTTGACTTTGAACTTGCTAATGTGCAAAGGAAATGGTCCATTTCTCTAGAACTTGGTTGATAAGATTTTACTTTGTCTCATTTATAATTTTCTTCTGCCATCAGGTAGGAGAGAAGGCAATAAGGGAAAGATTTGTTTTTGCACTACTTGGAGATTTTTATAACTTAGGCCAGGACAAAGCACACAATAAATAAAATATTAACAATATGTCCTTAATTTCTTAATTTTCCTTTCTGACAAAGATCACTTGCTTCTCCATTTATATATAAAGAAGGGGTGTGTTAAGCAAATGAAGGCAGACAAGATGTGCCCAGCACCTGGCATACAACAGGGGCACAGGCCATTGCTTAATAAAAAGTATAATTTATTAAAATATGCTCGAACACTGTTATACTAACCAAATATGCCCTGAAAATTTTAAACTTTCAATGTAAAAGAATAATTTTAAAAACTATTTCTAGAAAAATAGCTTTTTTAAGGGCTTCCCCCCCATAGCAATTTAAGATTAACCTAAAACATGACAGTTATTTTAACTGGGGAGCACCACCCCCATCTCCTTGTGTGTGTCTGACATTGGAGGCTTATTGTGCACGAAGTTGTGATCAAAATCCAACTCAATTCATTTTGAAAAGTAACATGACTACAATATCCATCCACTCCAATGAGCAAAGGGCTTTGAGTATACACAGCCCGCCACACACTATGGATCATGGCATACAGTCTAGCTTTGGAGGTCGCTGCGTTTGTTCACGCGTCTACGAGATAGGTTTTCAGTTTTTTCCCCCGTTCTATTAATAGAATTAATTAGTTAATTAGCCCCATTCATTCATTTACTCAGTCCACAGCCTTTTTGTTAAGAGCCTGCTGAGGACATAAAGATGGAGATCCAGTTTCTACCCTCACGAAACATACAATCCAAGCGAAGGCTTACTTTGCGATAGTCGTCAAGTTGTGTTTTTATGGTGCTTTACTGCTCCCTCCAGCACCCGATACCTGGGTATGACCTCAGGCGGTGGTAGAGCCCGCGTGCGAGGTCCGGCTCTCCAGGGCTTGCCCTGGCAGGGCGGGGTCAGCAGAGCAGCCGCCGGCGCTGCCCCCGCGGGCTCCCTCCCGCGCTACCTTTAATTTCGCAGCTTCCACCACCGGAAATTAGTCGAAGGCTGAGTGGACCCAGCCGAGAGCCGGCGAGCTCCACGCGGGGAGGGTGCGCCCACCGGTCCCGCCGGGCGCCCGCTGGACGCGCCGCCAGGGCCCTCTCCGCCGGGGGCTCGGCGCTCGCCCACCTCTTCCAAATTTAACCATTACCTAAATCCGAAGGGAAATGAGCAAACCTCTCGGATTGGGTGTCAAGGTATTTTCAGCCTCGTTGGGCGTATTTATCCCGAAGTGTTTCCACAACAAGCTATTTCGGGGCCGCGGGGCAGGTTTCGCTCTGCGGACACCGTGGCCACTCGCCGGGCTCCAGGCCGGCGGCACCGCGGGCCGGTGATTCACGGTCCTGAGCTGGGGGTGGTGCAGCCCTAGCAGGCGGCTGGGTGGAGGGGGGCCATGGCGGGTGACGGATGCCAGAGGGGCAGGAAGGGTCCTCGGAGCTGTGCGCCCCCACCCCTCTCACAGCAGTCAATCTCTGTCCTGAATCTGTGGCTTCTCTCGCTGCGGAAGTCTCCCTGAAGCCAAGAATAGTTATTTTCTTTCGAGTCATTTCTAGTGCCTGAGTGTCCGGACATCCAATTTCCCCCACCCCCCGCCGACCCACAGGGAGAGAACTGGGAGGACGACTAAGGGACGCGCGGGACCGGCTGGAAAGGCCAGGGTCCCCCGCCCCGCACCCGCCTGGCCACTTGCGCAAAGTAGCGCGCCGGGCCACCCGACGGGGGTTGGGAGCAGGTCTGGGAGGGCTGTGTGAACGACTCAATAACGCTCAGGAAGTGAAGCTTGTGGTTTTGGGGGCTGAGCTCGGAAGGAGATTTTTTTTTTAAGGTCAGAGAGACAGAGCGGTCTCTTCCAAAAGCAAGATTTCGTTTGAAACTCTCCTAGCGCGGTGCCCGCGCCCTGAACCCTCAGGTAGGTCCGCCAAGGCTGTTCTGCGCCTCCCGCCCTGGTGGGGGCGGCCGCGGGGACTCGCAGAGCACTGGCGCTGCGGGGGCGACCAGAGGGCGCGGGCGGGTTCCCACCTGCTGTGGACCGCCGTGCGGGAGCCCCGAGAGCCCTGGCAGCTGGGTTAGGGCGAGACTCGAGCAGCGCGGCTGGAAATCTGGAGCCGGAGGCGCGCAGCAGGCAGCCTGGTGGTTCGGCAGGGGAGCCGAATCCACCCGGGAAGGAAACTTCTGGTGGGAGGCTGCGGCAGCTGCGCTCGGGAGGCCACCCCCTCAGTGCCCTCGGCTCCCGCCTTCCCGGGCGGGGACGTTGAGGAGAGGCCTGAGCTCGCTGAGGGCCCGCCCCGCCTCCCGCGCCAGCTGCAGTGCGGGGTTACCTTCCCACGCGCTCGGCCGTGGCCCCGGCACCCCTACCTCCCCCACCTACGTCCCTCCCGACAGGACTCTACAAAGCCGGCCGGAGTGCGAGAGAGGCGTGGGCTTACAGCCCGGGTGGGGAGGCGGCCTCCACGTCCGCCTGGTCTCTAGCGGCTCTAGCTCAGACCCAGCTCCAGCTCTGACAGCTCCCCCGCCCCCATCCGTCCAGCTCACAGCCAACGCGTGTCCCAGCCTTAGGGGGACCCTCCGGACAACGCCACACCGTTTTTCTTTTCTTCTGAGTTTCGCGGCTGTTTAAAGAATTGGGTTTGGGTTTTGTGGCGTCTAATTGTACGGCCGAGAAGTGCAGGAAGCGGCAAAGCTCTAGCCCTGGGAGCCAACACTGACGGAGGCGGATGGCACCCTAGCCCCTAGGGGCATTCTGGCGCTTAGGTAACGGGAAACGTCGTTGGTGCCCCGTGACACGTCCCAGGCGTCTTTTCTCCCACGTCTGTTCCCATTCCTCCGGAGAAGGGGACACAATGGGGCTGGGGATCTGAATCAGGAGGCCTGCACCCTACAGGGACCAAGGCCGCTAGAACTCGTTTTGAGCCGAGAGCTCCAAAAGACAGATGTAGACTCTGTGGCCTGCATTTTGCCTAGGAAGCCGAGCAGCTCCTAGTACAGCAGTGGAAACAGCACGAAGCCAGAGGACTGAGGGTCCTGCCCCAGCCCAGAGTTTCCAGCACCCTCGTTTCTGAACCAATCGAAGCCACCGAGAACTGCTGTACTGCAGCTCACGTGTGAACCGGGTCCCCATCGCCTTCACCCCGGGAGGAAGGCAGATTCGTTTACCCCAGACCACCTTGACTGTGGGGTCCCGCCCCGCCGGAGCCGGCTGGAGCTGAGGCTGGCGCAGCCCCGCCCTTCCGCCGGGCTCAAATTTCGACCTGGGATTAGGTGAACTGATTGGGGGTTAATGAGAGCGGCGCCCTGGGCAGCTAGTTCCCTCCCGGGCTCGGGCCAACCCTTGCTTTCTGCCAATGCAGCCTGCGTGCTCTGGCGTCGTGTCTTGTTTGCTAAATTATCAGTGCACCACCGATTCGGGACACCTAGCATTTTCCCCAGTCAATGTTCGCGGATCGGGCTTCACTTCCCTAGGACAAGATTTTTTGGTGAGAAGAACGGAAGGTGTTTTTTCCCGGGACCTGATTCCCGAGGTTAGGTCTCCATGGTCTGGGATGGCTCGCCGCAACCTCAGCTGGTGCCCGCAGCACCTGGGAGTCCGGCGCCAAAGTTTCTCCTACGTGGGGCACAAGTGAGGGGAAACAGGGATCACCAGGATGCGAGTTTCTCCTGAGGTGGGGATTGGTCGTCTGTTACTCCCCTCACTTCCCTGTCCCTTGCTGGCCTCTGCTGCCCCCAGTCCCTTTGCTGCTGTCCCAACACCACCACCCCTCAGTTTTGTGTTCCGTCCCTGCCCCCCCCCCCCCACGCCGCCTTTCACTCCAGTTTGTAGCTGGCTCTTGGAGGTCTTGGCTCCTCGCCCCTTCTGGGTCCTCGACCACTGGGCATCCCCGACCCCTAAACCGATTCTCGTTTTCCCGCCCTCCCTTGCCAGCCATAAAGCATAGCCAGGCAGGCAATGAGTAGCTGAGTTGGGGTAACCCACCCGAAGGGAACTCTGGCTGTCCAGAGAGTTTGATTGCCGGAGCGAGCTTGGCTAGGAAAGGGGAGGAGCTGGGGGGGCGTGAGCAGGGAGGAGGAAAGGGGCCCGAGTTAGGGCCCCGGGATAGGTTTTACCGCGGAGCTGTGTCAGTGGCGGCAGCGGTAACGACGGCGGGTTCGCGCCACCTGTCTGAGTGCCACCTGGTAAGCGCAGCGCAGCGGGGCCAAGCCCCTCCTCCTATGGGCCCTCTGCGCTCCTCCCTGGCCGCTGCTCTCCCTCTGCCTGGGTGCCCAGTCCCCAGCACCTGAGAGTACTGACCCGCGTTTCCACCTGGTTTTCTTCCCCTCTCAGGTCTCCGCCGGGCTGTGGCTGAGCAAGCCTTCGGAGTGACCGTGGGTGACAGCGGCTCCAGGGATTCTTGGGGCGGAGTGGGGAAAGCCCCAGACCACCATGCCACGCTCATTCCTCGTCAAGAGCAAGAAGGCGCACAGCTACCACCAGCCGCGCTCCCCAGGACCAGACTATTCCCTCCGTTTAGAAAATGTACCAGCACCCAGCCAAGCAGGTGCAAGGCGCGTGGGGCCCGGCAGGGCTGCTCCCGGGGACTCTGCACATTGACACACCATTACCCGGGAGCTGGGAGGGGCTGCCCCAACGTCCCCTAGGCTGCCGTTTTTGTTTCCTGCTGTCCTGGTTCCTCAGGGTTTGTCTCCTATGTGCCATGGTCTCTCTGTACCTGTCCTTATATTCGAGAGGGTTCCTGGCCAGGGTCTGGGTGGAGAGGGGAAGACGCTCGGGTGCCCTGGTCGGGGTGGGTTTGGGGGAACCTTCAGAACCCCCAGGCTCAACCGGTCCCAGCCCGAGCCCCTCACCTGCCTCCTCTCTGCAGATAGCACTTCAAATGCAGGTGGGATGAAGGCGGAGCCCGGGGACCGTTTGTCCCCTGAATCGCAGCTGACCGAAGGCCCAGACAGAGCCTCCGCATCCCCAGACAGCTGCGAGGGCAGCGTCTGTGAACGGAGCTCAGAGTTTGAGGACTTCTGGAGGCCCCCATCGCCCTCCGCGTCTCCAGGTAGGAACCCACTGGGAACCGCAGGGGCGGTAGCTGCAGGAACCAGGCAGTGTTTGGGGTGTGTGTGTATGTGTGTGTGTGTGTGTGGGTGGGTGGGTGGGTGGGTGGTGTGGGGTGAAGTGAGGGGGATAGGCGCGATCTTGGGCATAGAAATTCTAACGGGAGTTGGAGAGTCTTTCCGGGAGGAGCGAACTGATTCGTAGGGGAAGGAGGCCAGAAGGAGGCATCCGGCTTCTCTGGGACTTGGACAGCTTGCCCGCTGGGGCCGCTGCCTTCATCCTGGGAGGCGGGACCCTGGCTGCTCGTTGTTTGCGTGGAGCTGGCCGGCGACGGAAAACAAACCAGTTTTTTTGACTGGCAGCAATGCTGATGTTTCGTTTTCTGACCAGACTTGATTTTTCATAAAGTGCTAGGATCCCACAATCTAGACCCCCGAACCTCAAACAAATGGAGACCAGGGCAGTAAGGGCCAGGCAGAGGAGTTAGGCGCGGGGCAGGAGGGAGGGGGCAAGACGAAAATCTCAGCCCGCAGCTTGGTCTTCACAGGCGCAGATTGGGGCCCTGTTTCATTTTTCGTTTTGCCAGGTTGACCCAACCTCAGGGGCCTGCCCTCTAGGTTTCATTTCCAGTGAGCAATCCAGCTTCAGGCAAACGAAGTGACTGCACGTTGGGTGGGGTCGTCTTGGTCCCGGCCTGGGGAAGGAATGAGCTAACCAGCCAGATTTTGACAAGGGCCCGTTATATCCAGAATATGTTTGCTAGTTTCAAAAGATACCACCATCCGTCCCACAATCAGTGAGTTGACTGGGCTAAACCCATAGCTCCAGGGAATGTGTCTGGGAGCCGGCGGTGGGAGGATTCTTCCTGCCAGGGCGTCAAGTGGCCGGGCAAGGACTAGGTCCCAAACCCCTTGGAATGAAACTCTGGGTACAGCCTTTCACTGAAGTGGCCAGCCTGGAGTGTGTGTGTGCGCGCGCGCACATTTGTGCACACACACACACATTTGTAAATGCCGTATGCACTCACGTGCGTTGAGTCACTAGTTTTAGCAAAATTCATGTGAGTGGGAGCGTAGCAGGGTGAGAATTCAGAGAGCTGTCTCTTTGCAGGTGGTGGCAAAACCTTATGAGATATACAGTTATTCTCTGAGAAATTCGGGTTCCCCGCCTCTATCAAACTATAACAGGAATTGGGAGTATTTGGTGGGCAGTTTAAGCCCAAAAGCCCCTTTCCTGCCGCCCCTTTGCCGTGTACACTGGGCATTTAACTTTGTGAAACTTTAATACCTTCCGGTTTATTCAGATACCAACCTTTCGGGTAGTTTGAGGCCGCATTTATGGACCCTCTCCCTACTTCCTCGTGGATTCTGGGAATAAAAAGAATTGAATGGGAACATGTAGGGGCTGGGAGAATGCCTGTGCTGGTGGCTGGACCCTTCGCCCACGCCCACGAGTGCTGTACGAGGCCGAATGGGGCATTTATTGACGTGACCTTCCCCATAGGATCTCCAGGCGCGCAGGTTCAGCCAGAAAAGATCCTCAGAACGCCAAGCGCCTCGGCTGCCCTCGCGCAGAATTTACGACCGCCTCTCCCGAGGTCTTTTCAGTGATCTATTTGCTGCTCTGCCTCCTACAGTGGCCTGCAAGGCCCCAGGGCCTGGGCCGCGTTTTACCCTGGGGTGGGCCTGGCACCTGGAGCACGCAATGTTCTACCAGCACTGGGTGCCCCGTAGCTGCAGAGCTGCAGCCCGGTGGCTTCCGCTCTGCACTCTGAAGCCTGACTGGACTCTCCCTTGTGCCTCCACAGCCTCGGAGAAGTCGATGTGCCCGTCAATGGACGAAGCCCAGCCCTTCCCCCTGCCTTTCAAACCATATTCATGGAGTGGCCTGGCGGGTTCTGATCTGCGGCACCTGGTGCAGAGCTACCGACCTTGCGGGGCCCTGGAACGTGGTGCCGGCCTGGGCCTCTTCTGTGAATCCGCCCCAGAGCCGGGCCACCCAGCCACGCTGTACGGCCCGAAGAGGGCAGCGGATGGCGTGGGGGCCGGGGCTCCAGGGAGCTGCAGCGCAGGGGCTGTTGCCGCCGCTGGCCCTGGCCTAGGGCTCTACAGCGACTTCGGGTCTGCGGCGGCCGGTTTGTATGAGCGGCCCACTGCAGCGGCGGGCTTGCTGTACCCTGAGCGTGGCCATGGGCTGCACGCGGACAAAGGCGCTGGCGTCAAGGTGGAGTCCGAGCTGCTCTGTACCCGGCTGCTGCTCGGCGGCAGCTCCTACAAGTGCATCAAGTGCAGCAAGGTGAGGCATCCGAGCTTCCCGCTTCGCCTGCCCTGCGCCTGCTTCCCCTACCCGCTCCTAGCCCGCGCAGCACCAGCGCCCCGCGGCCCCTCTCAGCGGCCTTCTCCCCGGCCCCACCCGCCGTAGGTGTTCTCCACGCCTCATGGGCTCGAGGTGCACGTGCGCAGGTCCCACAGCGGCACAAGACCCTTTGCCTGCGAGATGTGCGGCAAGACCTTTGGGCACGCGGTGAGCCTGGAGCAGCACAAAGCCGTGCACTCGCAGGTAAGCCCCGGGCGCACAGCTGCGAGCGGCCCTGCTCAGGTTTTTTGCACTCGGGGATCTTCTGCATCTCCTAGGTGCAGCACCAGCCGCTCTTGGCTGGAAGTTTTCTCCCTGACTGCCCCCAGTTTTCTCCCCCAACCCTTCCGCTGTGTCTCCTTGCCCTGGGAAAGATACCTTTCCCTACACACATGTGGCCGGCTTAGGTCTTGAGGCAGCCCTATATTTTGGTGTCACGTCACTGTGAGCCTCGAGAGTCCGATCCTCATTGTTGGGCTTGAAGAAGGTTTGTATGCACTAATTCGTGCGGCTGAGATATCAAGACTTATTAGCTCTATTTCTTTGTGCCTTTTTTTTTTTCTCCCTGAGACGGACTCTTGCTGTGTCCCCCAGGCTGGAAAGTGCACACAATCTCTGCTCACTGCAACTTCCGCCTTCCGGGTTCAAGCGATTCTCCCCGCTCAGCCTCCTGAGTAGCTGGAATTACAGGCGCGTGCTACCACGCCCGGCTAATTTTGTCTTTTTAGTAGAGCTGGGATTTCTCCATGTTGGTCAAGCAGGTCTCAAACTCCTAAGCTCGTGATCTGTCTGCCTCGGCCTCTCAGATTGCTGGGATTACAGGCGTGAGCCACCGTGTACCCAGCCGTGCCTATTCTTTTCACCAAATGGTTGTTACTTAATTTGCATTGACCCCTCTCGACTGAAAAGGTGGGATCTCAGCTCATTTAGAGCATACAATAGCAGATTTACCTTGCTATTCTCTCTCCCTTCCCCTCCCCTCCTCTCTTTTCTTTTTGAGACAGTGTAGCTCTGTTGCCCAGGCTGGAGTGCAGTGGCACAATCTCTGCTCACTGCAACCTCCCCCTGCCAGGTTAAAGTGATTCTTATGCTTTGGCCTCCCAAGTAGCTGGGATTACAGGCACATGCCACAGCTAATTTCTTTTTTTTTTTTTTTTTGAGACAGAGTCTCTGTCACTCAGGCTGGAGTGCAGTGGCACCATCTCAGCTCACTGCAAGCTTCACCTCCTAGGTTCAAGTGATTCTCCTGCCTCAGCCTCCTGAGTACCTGGAATTACAGGCATCCGCCACCACACCCGGGTAATTTTGTATTTTTAGTAGAGATGGAGTTTCACCATGTTGGCCATGCTGGTCTCGAACTCCTGGCCTCAAGTGATCTGCCCATCTCACCTCCCAAAGTGCTGGGATTACAGGCCTGAGCCACCACACCCCGCCCCTGCTATTCTTTCATGAATAAATATTTGTTGCCTAATTTCCAGGTACCAAGTACTTAAGAATCCTATAGCACATCAGGTCGTTGACAGCATGCCCACATGAAGATTATAGTTTAGCTGAGAGATGGACAGTAGATGAGCAAATAAATATAACAATAGCTATGACAGGAGAATGCTATGACAGGAGAAGGCTAAAAAGAATATCAGCCCGTCTCCCCCAGAACCCACACTGGCTGGGGGTGGAGGCATCTGAAGTGACTGAGGTCTAAGCCTTCTGTTGAAGAGGGTGGAGAAGTGTGTGTTAATGGTGTCAAAAAAAGCAGGGTGTGGATATGTTTTTGCCTTGGGGTGTGGAAGGTTGTGGGTAAAGAATGTTTTGGTAGAAAAAGTGTTCAAGGGTCAGGCACAGTGCCTCATGCCTGTAATCCCAGTACTTTGGGAGGCTGAGATGGGTGAACTACTTGAGACCAGGTGTTTGAGACCAGCCTGGCCAACATGGTGAAACTCCGTCTCTGCTAAAAATACAAAAATTAGTAGGGTGTGGTGGTGGCACCTGTAATCCTAGCTACTTGGGAGGCTGAGACACAAGAATTGCTTGAACTTGGGAGATGAAGGTTGCAGTGAGCTGAGATCATGCCACTGTACTCCAGCCTGGGTGACAGAGGAGACTCTGTCTCAAAAAAAAAAAAAGAAAAAAAAGAAAGAAAAAGAAAAAGTGTTGAAGGGATTTTAGGGTCAGCTCAGGGGCAAGGAGAGCAGCAGTCTGGGTGACTGCAGGAGTACCATATCTCTCTCTCTCTCTGCAGGAACGGAGCTTTGACTGTAAGATCTGTGGCAAAAGCTTCAAGAGGTCATCCACACTGTCCACACACCTGCTCATCCACTCAGACACCCGGCCCTACCCCTGTCAGTACTGTGGCAAGAGGTTCCACCAGAAATCAGACATGAAGAAACACACCTTCATCCACACTGGTGAGCTGAAGGCCCTTGGCTTGTAGGAAACACCCTGAGGCCAACATAACTCACCTTCTCTGATTTCTGGCCCCAGTGAGTGGCGGATGAGACCTTACTGATGGAGTTAATCACTGCTCTGTGTTAAAGAAAACAAAGGGGTGGGTTCTTAGGTTCATTTATAGACATAAATCTCCCCAGAGCCACCTTGATTTGGGGTTGTGTCTGAAAGACTATTCAGCAGGTCAGCTTACAGTTTCTCTCTTCTTGCAAAGACCATTTTCCTCTAGGTTGGTGGCTGCTTCCACTGCTGCCTGCTCTGAGTGAAATATGAAGCTCCAGGGTCCTCTTAGAGAGTTGCTCTAAAGAGCAAGGAGAGTTTGCTCTAAAGCTTACCTAGAGATTGAGGACTTTCTTTAATCACCTGGCCTTTTGTGGGAGGGATTCATGTGGCCTCTTTGGCTGCATTTTTAGGAGTCTGAGAGCTTATTCTGATTGAGGAGGAACAAATAATGGCAAATGTGATTAAACTCTCTGCTAAGCATTTCTAAAATGCATTATTTCATTTTATGATCACAACAACTCTTGGAGGTAGAGACTACTCCTCCCCATTTTAGAGATGAAAAAAATGAGGCCAGGTAATCGACCCAGGGTCACACTGCTAGCAAATGACAGGGTCAGAGCTCAAATTCAGATCTGACCTCTCAAATGTCCACTCTTGACCACTGTTTATTGTATTCTATGTTTAGAGTCATGAGGGTTGGTAGACACAGAAAGCTGCTGTTCACTTATTTGCTCTTTTCAAAATATCTGCAAGTTCATGCCATAATAATAATTCCTTACCTATTACAATGCTTTATAATTTACAAAGTACTTTCAAATCTATCATTTCATTTGATTCTTATTGCTACTCAATAAAGTAGAATGAGCTGCTCTTACCATCCTGAAACTCAGAAAGAGTGAATGATTTATCAGAAGTCAGACTGAGCGAATAATGGAGCCATGTAATGCTCTGGCTTCTAATTCTGGACTCTTTGCCCAACACTTTATGTGTGGGTGGGAGCCTCAATGTCAAGAACACTCTAATAGTCAAAAGACATTTACATGAGACCCAGAATTTCTGAAAATTGTATTGCAGAATATGAATACTGATTTAGAACAAATCACAGTGTATTCTAAACACCCACCCTTGATGTTTATAAATATGCTTGGGTAATGTATATATTTCCATTGAAAACCCAGAAAAGTAGTCTACTTTAATCATTCCCTCTTACCTGAAATTTCCATGTAATTCACTCCTTATAAGTAAGGTATTCAGGACACTTATCAAAATGCAACTAGGATCTTGACTGAATAAAACATTAAGCCCTTATCAAACATTTACATTATACCTAGAATTTGTTTCTCAGATTTGTTTGACCCTAAAGGGATGGAATACGTTTTGATGGCTTGTTTCTTATCAAGGAAATCCAAAGCATGAAAACAGAAAATAGTGTATCAAGGGGTATAGAGCATTCCTCAAAAACAAACTTCATCTATTTTATATTTTTTCCAAGGCTGAGCCCTGACTAAAATGCCATGCTGGGGCTATTTGGAAATTCATGCCATTTAACCAATAACACATGAGATGGGGAAAAAGACAAAACCTTTTTCTGTTCTCTGATTTATTAATTTGTGCTGAAGAATTGCTGGTATATAAAGAATCATGTGACTAATCTCATAAAATGAAAGAAAAATCAAGACAAAAATATCAGCTACCTTAAGAAATACTTTGTGACCCAAATATGGATTTTTAAAATAAGATATTGAAAAATGTATCCTGCACATGTACCCTGGAACTTAAAATTTAAAAAGAAAGAAAGAAAAATGTCCATGTTAAGATGTTTTTCAGATATACTCTGCTGTCCTTCAAGAACAAGAAAGAAGACAGGCTCACTGGTCCATACAAACTAACACCCACTTGGAAATTCAGATTTGAAAACTTCCTCTGAATTAGAACGGAGTCACACGGTTTTAGGACAGCTTCCCCCTCCCCTTCCTGTTGAACATCTGCTCTGGGTGTTCACAGCTTATAAAGTCAGGGGAGTCCTCCCTGGGGTAGATTCAGCTGGGGAGGGCATGTGGCCTTTGCTCTGTTTCCGTTTAGCAGGAAACGGTTTGAGGCCTTTGGCTGGGAACCCCCAAAGTCTCCCTTTCACCTGGTGCACCCATGGTGCTTCCAGGGACTCGCATTGCAGGCTGGGAGTCAGTTCATGTTGCAGCACGTCACCCTCCAAGTTGCTTGAAGGCCTTAGACTGTGGTGCAGCCAGCTGCTGCTAAGAGCATGTGGGTCACAGAGGGTCCCGTCTAGCTTTATCATAGGCTCATACTTTCTCCCCTCCCCCTCCCATCCCCACAGGTGAGAAGCCCCACAAGTGCCAGGTGTGCGGCAAGGCATTCAGCCAGAGCTCCAACCTCATCACCCACAGCCGCAAACACACAGGCTTCAAGCCCTTTGGCTGCGACCTTTGTGGGAAGGGTTTCCAGAGGAAGGTGGACCTCCGGAGGCACCGGGAGACACAGCACGGGCTCAAATGAGCACCCTGGCTGGCTGCAAGCAGCAGCTACACAACACTACAGAGGGCAGCCTCCCTGCTTGCCCACCCCTGCTGACTTTGCAGACCCTAGGTCCAGTCTGCAGATCCCACCAGGGTGTTCCTCCTTTGCCTTACCTCCTGGAGCTGCCAGAGGAGATGAGATACCTTTTCAAGTGCAGCCTAGAGTAAGAATCAAGTGACTCTCTAGGCTTTGGACACAAATAGGCTCCTCTACACCTGAAGACACAGGCATAGTCAAATGGGGACCAGAAGAAATCTTAGACCTCACATTCCTTCCCATTTCCAGCCCTAATCTACAGACAGGAATATCCTTTAGGTTTCTTCCCTCCCCTTCTTGACCTACTCCAGTTATTTGTGTGGAAGAGGAGGACTCATCATTTACAAGGTGGACACGTGCTAATATTTTTATCTAGAAAGAAGAATGAGTGTTACATTTTATTTTTTTTCTTCTGGGGAGTCTATTGGCCCCCTTCTTTTGGGTGCTGCCTATAAATCTTGGAGAAATAATTTCTCTTCCTCAAAGACTGATTCAGAAACTGATTTGGGGAAGTTTAATACTTTTGAAGTCATGAGATGCACCATCAAGGCTACCCCAAGAAGGAGCAGAAGAGAAGTTGGTGATGAGAGGGGATTAGAGGTCCTCCCTTCAGGAGGCCTGTGAAGGCTTCATCAGTGGAGGTAAAAGCACAAGCAATGCCTGTGGCCAAGATGTCATTCATTGACTCAGCACATGTTCATGGATCACCGGCTATCAAGGTTACCAGGCACCATGCTAGGTACTGGGGAAGAGAGACTGAAGTCACAACTCCTGACTCTTCTCCTCAAAAGCTAATGGTTGCACCTCCAAGTGGCTGGGTCTGTTCTTACCCTTGGAGAGAATTCTGAGAAGACAACAAAGAATTGTAAATCTTCCCTTTTGACCCTTTTGGATTTTATCAGGTGTAAACAAAAAGCAGCTGAATAGTTACTTCAAAGATATGTGTGTATATTCAGTTTTTTATTGTTAAGCTGATATTTTAAAGATGTCTGAGCTAGCAGGCATGTGGAAGTGAAGGCTCTGTCTTCAATTCTTTGACCCTCCATGTGTATCATAGAGAGGGTAAAAAGTGGTATTTTCAGTTTGATGAGGTTGGTAAATGTTTTTAGATCTTCTGGTATGCATTATGTTTATTAATACATATTTATTAGAGTGATGTTTTAAGTTAATAAACTATTAAGACTATTACAGATTGCCTTTCCTTTAGGAAAGGAATTTGGGGAAGACCTTTGTTTTAGTCTGGGGTGGGGGGAAGCTGGCACTGAAGGAAGCTGCAGTAGAGTATAAAAGAGAAGCAGATGAGCCAACATCCAGAAGAGTGTAAAATCCAATTGCTTTGGTTTTCATATACTTTCTCCTTTGCTTCTACACCTCAGAGATACTTCTTTAATAAGACAAAAACTAGGAGGTGTACAAAACTAAGCTCCTACCTTGTAGAGCCCCTGATGGTTCCACAGGCACATAAGTAAGCTCTTTCCTCTAAAAATTTCAACATAATTTTTTATGGGCCTGAAGACTCCCAGATGAATATAGAAATCACAGGTCTTAGGTCTAGAGGTTTTAGTTTTAGTCACAGCTCTGTCACCAACACATCATGTGACTTGGGTAAATCTTTCAACTTCCCTGATACTGGTTTCCTTGACCAAGTAATGTGGAGACAGCTCTGTCATTCCAGTCCAACCCTGACTGCTTTGATTCTGTGGAAACTGGAAAGGAGAAAAAGTATGAGATTGGTTAGCTGCCTCCCCTAATGCAAGTAACAAATCTAAAGGTACATGAGGATCTGGGTTATTTCTGGTCTGTCCCACCTGTGGGAGCTTTTTATATCAGTCAGTCCTTTAAGAGAATGAAACCAGAATAAGGTCCTGCCCTAAATCCCTACTACTAGTGCTTTAACACCCAGCCAGATACTCAGGGTATGCATGGCTCATATTGAGTACCAGAAGATTGCCCATTTCCAACTCAAATTGATCTCACCTATATGACTGAGCACCGAATATGTGCTGGGCACTCTTCTAGGGGGTGGAGATACAGCAGTGAGGACAATGTCATATGAAGATTTATTTACTCATTGTTGAATCTTCAGTTCCCTGAATAGTGCCTGGCACGCAGTAGGGGATCAATAAGTATTTACTGAGATGGTACGTGAATAAACAGAATATAAACTCCTGCTTCATCCTGTGGGCTGGCTCTGCTCTCTACAGCACAAAGGGAAGTGAGATTGCTTGAAAGCCTGGGAAACAAATAGAATCCACAGGACTTTCTCTCCGGGTTGGTGGGAAAGCGGGGCTTGAATGTTGCTTTTCTCTGGTGTCTCCAAATCTCAGTTCTTTTTTTTTTTTTTTTTTTGGTATCAAATCTCAGTTCTTGGCTGTCCTCACCTGATTTCCAGCACCATGTCTCTCCATGTCAGTTTACTCTCATTCAGAATTTAAATTTGTTTACTCTGTAATGGAGTTTAAGATAGTTTTTCAGAACTGATGGATGATGAACAGTTGCAGCATCTAGGAACCACTTCCTAGTGTCCTGGGAGACAAACCTCCCAGTGAGTAAAGATGACAAAAACATCCTTCCCACAGAAGTCACTCTGCATATTGGTTGGTTATTTCCAACCTGGTTTGAAAGTAAAGAAGTTGCACTGAGGGGTAAGTAAAACTAATTGAAATCTAGGTGTCTGTACTGTCCTGCTCTTCCCTTATAACAGAACATTTGGTCCATTTTCATTATCCCTGTTTATGCTATAAGTGAGGAATTATAAATTTGATGTTAACTGTATGTCTTTTTTTTTTTTTTGGTAAAAAATGTATCTTGATATCCCCAGTTCAGAATCAAAACAAATTACTGTGCCTGTTACCGTGTGAAATTTGAAGATTGCAAATATCTCTCTTAATGTTATTACTTGACTCCATTAAAAATAGATTGTGAATATTCCATGTCACATTATTCATGAGGCAGGCTCTATGCCTTTTGTCTGCTGGAGTAACAGTAGAAAGGGTAACAAGAGACACCAGAGCACACCTTTGTTTCTTTCACTAAATTTTTAATAACACCTCCAGCTAGCCAGTTGGTGAAGCTCAGCTCTTGCATAAAAGTGGAAAAGCACAGCTATCTCTGAGAAGACCAACTCTTTCAGCAGCTAATTTGAGTTTGTGTTCATCTACACCAGACATGATTAAATTACCTATCAAGTGTGCTGAGCTATCAGGATTCAGGCCACATAAAAGGTGAATTTCATCTGATTGATTTGAGACACAAATGGAACAACTGAGTTTTAAAAGCCCCGCCTTAATTAAAGGTATAGCAGAGTATCATGCCCTGGTGACTTCTTGACTGCCATTGCCCTTGAAAACTGGGTGGTGATAGTGATTTGACCCCAGTCATTTTGTTGTGTGCCTGTTTGTTCAACCTGATCATTTAACAGAAAGAGATGAACTCAGAGGAAGACCTGAATGGACTTCACTAATTTTTACTGTGCATTTCTAGAGCACTGTTTGTTTAAATCTGTGCTGCCATATTATTTCTATGGTAAAAACTTTTTATTTTATTTTAACCCCCTTTTTCCATTCATTAAGTCAGATTTTAAAAATTAAAAAGTTTGGGCCAGGTGTGGTGGCTCACGCCTGTAATTCAAGCACTTTGGAGGCCAAGGCAGGCAGATCACCTGAGGTTGGGAGTTCAAGACCAGCCTGACCAACATGGTGAAACCCCGTCTTTAAAAATAAAATAAAAATAAAAAGTTTAAGAAAATTGCACCCTAAATCCTTCCATCTTAAAAGTTTATGTTCTTTTTGTATGTGTTCCTTTCTAGTCTTTAGGCACATGTGTGTATATTTATATTTTATAATTTTTGTCTAGATAACTCTTATTTATTATATAGACATACTTAAAACAGATATTTCACAATGAGAATTTGGACAATTTTATGACCAAATTTTATTGAAATATTAGTGTTTTGTTGGGAATCTTGTCAATCATTGAGAAAAAGTCTTTTCTGAAGTTTAATGTTTTTTTACTTTTTAAATAAGACATTTTAGGCATACTGGAAATTGCAGAGAATAATAAACATTAGTGTACCCACCATTCTACCATATTTACTTTAGATTTTATTTTTGAAATAACATGTTACAGATATAGTTGAATTTCTTATTGGAATATGTTCCTGCCTAGTCCCATTTCCTTTCTTTTCTCCTCAGAGGCATCCATTATTCCAAAATCAGTATATATAATTGCCATGAATGTTTGTATGCCTTTAATTTATACACAATCCCATAAACAATATATAATTTAGCATATTTTAACTTTATGTAAATGGATGGTAGTTTATGTATCCTTCTGCACCTTTCTGGTTTTTTTGCTTAACATGTTGTTTTTGAGATGTATTCATGTTGATATGTGTAGTTTAGTTCCTTTATTTTAAATACTACATATAGAATTCCACTGGATGAATGCTTGGTAATTTCTCTCTTCTGTTGGGAGAGTTTGGGTCATTTCCAGGTTTTCCTATTACAAATAATTCTGAAGCAAACGACCTTTTACGTATCTCTTGTGAAAGATTCTTTAGGATGTATTCTTAGGAATGAAAATGCTGGATATTATCAAACTGCTCTTCAAAATGGTTTCTCCAATTTACAGGCTCCCTAACAATGTAGGAGAATTCCTGTTACTCCAAATCTTATCAATGCTTGGTATTGTCAAACTTTAAACATGTCTGCCAATCAGATGCATGTGAAATGTCATTGTAATTTGCATTTCCTGATTCCTAGTGAAGTTAAGTATCTTTTCGTAAGTTTATGGGCCTGACAGGTTTCCTTTCCTATGAAATGCCTCTTCATGTACTTTGTCAATTTTTCTGTTGGTTGCTTGCTTTTTATCAATTTGTTATTTAAATATATTCTAAACACTCACTGTTTTGTGTTACATACAGTGTAACATCTCAGTCTATGGTTTGCCTTTTCACTGTGAAGAGAGGATTTATTTGCTTGCTTTGTTTTTGTGTGTAATCAAATATATTAGTCTTTTCCTCAATGGTTTATGCTTCTTGCTTCTCAGTTAAGAACTCTTTCCCTAACTGGTGATCATAAGATTCCCTGTATTTTCTTCTAAAAGTGTTTAAATTTCTGCTTATAACATTAGGGTTTTTTGTTTGTTTGTTTGGAGTCTCACTCTGTTGCCCGGGTTGGAGTGCAGTGGCGCGATCTCAGCTCACTGCAACCTTTGCCTCCCAGTTCAAGCAATGCTCTTGCCTCAGCCTCCCAAGTAGCTGGGATTACAGGCAGGCGCCACCACACCTGGCTTTGTATTTTTATTAGAGATGGGGTTTCACCATGTGGGCCAGGCTGGCCTCAAACTCCTGAGCTCAGGTAATCCGCCCACCTCAGCCTCACAAATTTCTAGGATTACAGGCATGAGCCACCATGCCCAACCAACCGTAGCTTTTTAATCCACTTGTATGTGTATAGTATACAATAAGAACCTAATTTAAAAATTTTTCTTCACCATTAGTAATGGATAACCAATTATCCAAACATTATGTATTGCTATTTTCATCCTTTTCCCTCTGATTGTAATGCTACCTCTGTCATATGTCAAGTTTCTATTCCTGTATAGTTGTATTCCCAGGCTTGCTGATCGGTTCCACTGGTCATTTTGTCTATCTCTATGCCAAAGCCATGGTGTCTTAGATAATTTAAGTTATAATAAACTCTTAATAGCTAGTAGGGAAGGCTGCCTTGTGACCTGTTTCATCCTCTTCAGGAATATCCTGGCTACTTTTGGCCCTTCATCTTGCATGTGATAAACTGTTGCAATTTTGGTTCATATTACATTTATTATTTAATTTAGGGAGAAGTGAAATTATTTTGATATTGATTCTTGACATCCATATATTGATTACTTATTTAGTCATCTTTTATGTCTTTCAATAATACTTTGTTATTGTCTGAATAATTTAATGACTTTTTAAACTTTTTTTTGTTTGCTTTTCTTCCTTTTTTTTTTTTTATAAAGATGGGGTTTCACCATGTTGGTCAGGCTGGTCTTGAACTCCCGACCTCAGGTGATCTGCCCTGCCTTGGCCTCCAAAGTGCTTGGATTACAGGCCTGAGCCACCGTGCCTGGCCTAAACTTACTTTCTTAGTTCTTATTTTGAAAATTGAATTTTGTAATTACTCTTGTATGGGACAAAATTAATTTTTCTATATGTTGATCTGGTATCCTGCAACTTTGCTGAACCCTCTTTTTAGGTTTTTGCAGATTATTTTAGATTTTCAGAGTAAGATAGCCATAAGATACTCAAGTGATAATAGTTTTATTTTGTTCTTTCTGTCTCATTCTTGTCTCACTGCACTGGCCAGAGCTACACAGGGGCTGAATAATAGGCATCTTTGTCTTATTCCCTTATTCCAGGGAGTCTTTTTAATTTTTCACAACTTCATGTGGTTTTTGGTAGATAACTTTTTGAAAAATGAGGTTAGGAATTTCTTTTTCTATTTGGTAAGAATTTCCATTTGTGCATGTGTGTTTTTAATCAATGGGTATTTAATTTTATTGTATGATTTTTCTGCATCTATTTAGGGAATCAATAGATTTTTAATCTTTTATCCTTTAATTTGTTGACATGGCAAATGATATTTATAATTTTCTTTAATGTCTTAAGTTATACTTGCATTATTGGGGGAATAAACTCCCACCTAGAGAGAACAAACTCCAACTTAATCGTTTAAACCACATTGCTGATTTGGTTTGCTGACCTTTACTTAGGATTTTTGCATTTATACTGATTAGTGAAATTGGCTTATAATTTTTATTTCTTATACTGTCTAAGGTTTAATATGTCTCAAAATGAACAGGGTAATATTTCTTCTTTTTCTGTTTTCTGGATCAATGTGTGAAGGACTGGGATTATATGTTCTTTGACTATTTGATAGAACTCACCTGGGATTTTTTAGATGAGGGATAGCAAAGAGGAGGGTATATTTAAGTTTTAGTGACTATAGGTCTATTAATATTTTTAATTTTTTTCTTAAACATGCTGTATCATATATATGTATATGTGTATACATATATTTTATATATACATATATAAGCATATTTATAGGTATCCAAATTAATTCTTCTAAGTATCCAAATTAATTCTCACAAACATTTTGTAGACATCTCTGATTTTTTAAAAATGTCTATTCAGCCAGGTGTGGTGGCTCACGCCTGTAATCCCAGCACTTTGGAAGGCTGTGGCGGGCGGATTGCCTGAGGTCAGGAGTTTGAGACCACCCTGGCCAACAAAATCATTTAAAAAATAAATAAATAAATATTTTTTAAAAGTCTTCTCTACCTATAATTATGTTCAATTTTTCTTTCCAATATTGTTCATTTGTATCTTTATCTTTTTGCTTTAATATTGCCAAAGGTTCCTATTTTATTAGTTTTTGCAGTATATTTTTCATTGTCATTCATTTCTATATCTCACCTATTTCTTATTTGACAGATGTATTATTTAAAAGTACATTTAAAATTTCTAAACCTCTCTGCCTTATAGTTGTAAAATAAAATTCTAAACATGTTTTTTCAGTAATTTTTTGTAAGTGATTTATAATTTATATTTTGATCATGACTTTCATGATATTAATTCTCTGATATTTGTTAAGATTTATTTTGTAGCCTTCTCTATGGTCAAATTTTATAGATAATGTGTGCTTGAAAAGAATGTGTATATTCTAATTGCCAAGTGTAAGTTCTATATATGTCTGTTAGATTAAGCTTGTGATTATATTGTTCAAATTTTCCATATCCTAAATAATTTTGGTCTGCTTAATCAACCAATCACTGAGAGAGATAGGTTGAAATCTCTTATGGTGATTATTAAGTTATACATTTCTCCTTTGAGTTCTTTTTTCCATATGAGTTTGAGAAAATCTCCTTTGAATTCTGTTAATTATTTTACCTATTTTGAGGCTTGTTATTAGGTGCAAAATTTTTCAACTATTATATGTTCCTGGTGAATGATTCCTTTTTTTATCATCATTCTATTGTACTCATTGTCTTTAGTTTTTTGTTTTTTGTTTGGTTGGTTATATCACCAGGACAGGAGTTCAAGACCAGCCTGGCCAAGATGGTGAAATCCTGTCTTAAAAAAAAAAGTAAAAAAGAAAAAAAATTACACACACACTCACACACAGAGGAGAGAAAAGTACTCACTCTGGCCAAAAGAATAAGATGCTTACTGCTTTACTCTGGTAGCCCAGTTTTTGTATTTGATGAAGGATTCTCTCTTGAAAGGTTTTTTAAAATTTGCATTTGTTTTAACTCTAGAGGAGAAGCAAAAGCAGGAAGTTAGGTTTGTTTCTTGATGCTAGTTTTACAAACTTCATTGAGAATTTTTTTTTAATTTTTGGTAAAGTAGGAAGTCTAGTTTCAATTCTGTCTTTTAACATGAATTAAATAATTTCCTAGGTTTCCCTTTCTGAGAAGAACTGATTGGCATACCTTTATGAGATTTGCTGCAATAGCAATTATTCAGTTTTTCTTAGAGTAAGGAAGGTCTGAGTGGATGCCTCTTGTGACTTTTTGGGAGAGCCAGAAACTATCCTTTCATTAATCCTTAGTAAAATTGTCTCTGTATTTCACCTCTTGGATATACCTTCCCAGAGACTTCACAGAAACTTGACTTCCTCTTTCCCTGTACTAAAAACCACTGTTCATGGGACTCTAATAAACAAGAGTAACAGGTTCTTAACTGGGCTGAGGGAGTCTCACCAGAGTGTGATAGTTTTGCATGCCATCTTTGCATGGTTATTGTTTACATCATGTGTTTAGATACTATATAAAATAACATATAAAATAAAAAGTTAGCTGGGTGTGGTGGCTCACGCCTATAATCCCAGCACTTTGGGAGGCTGAGGCGGGCAGATCACCTGAGGTCAGGAGTTTGAGACCAGCCTGACCAATATGGTGAAACCCTGTCTTTAAAAAATAAAATAAATAAATAATAAAATTTTAAAATAACAATTTAAAAAAGTTTAAAATCAAGGTAGAATCAGATGACCTTCAAAACTCTTTTAATCCGGGAGCAGGGCATTGCAGCTCATGCCTGTAATCCCAGTGACTTAAAAGGCTGAAGTGGGAGAATGCCTTGAGGCAAGGAGTTCAAGACCGGCCTGGACAACATTATGAGACCTGGTCCCTAAAAGAACATTTTTTTAATTGCCTGGGCAACAGGGTTATACCCTGTCTCCAAACAAACAAACAAACAAACAAAACCAGTGGGAGACTCTTTGCAATCCAAATGCTACCTAGTGTCAAAGGTTCAGCTGATTTGATTTCAGGGCACCTACAAACTTATCCTTTGTGCATCACTAAGGACCCCTTGGGGTCTATATGGAGGTTTATTTTCCACTGGTCACTGTTGGTCCAAGACTAGCAGGTTCCAGGTATGAGAAGTGTATCTGAACTTTTCTATGGAATCTTCTATTAGCTTGGAGAGGCAGAATTGTTTAGTTAAAAACTGCATTGAATTTGGGTGTCAGGAAATCCATTGGCAAGCTGGAGACCCAAGAGAGCCAGTGGTATAGTTCCAATTCAAGACCAAGCTGTCCCAGATCAAGCAGTCAGGCAGGCAAAGTTGCCTCTTACTCGGTCTTTTGTTCTATTCAGATCTTCAGTTGACTGGATGAGGCCCACCTACATTAGGGAAGGCAGTCTACTTTATTCAGTTTATTTACTCAGATTTAAATGTTAAGCTCATCCAGAAACATCCTCACGAACATACCAAGCAAGAATGTTTAACCAACTGTCTGGGCATTTATGGCCCAGTCAAATTGTCACTGAAACTAACCATCATGGTCTCCAAATTGCCAGTGTATTTATCAGAGTAAAGAGCACTGGCTGCTGTAATGAATAACTCCAAAATTGTACTGGCTTACACAGTAAAGTTTATTTCTTACACATATCACCATTGATTTGTGTGTGTTCAGACTGCTTTCTTTACTGGCAATTGAGAGCTCTCAATTCCTTTTATCTTGTAGTGCTGC